CACAGGCGTGCGATCTGGGACCGACGCAGTCGTCATCACGACTGTGGGACGGCTCAAAGAAGGAAAGGTGGACATGCGGACAGGGGTAGACGGAGTCATCCTCACGAGCGAGGTTCCCCCGCGGTGTTTTGACCGCATCTCCATGTTTGATGGCGAGACCGGCAAGGAGGGCGATCTTGTTTGGACGCGCCAGGAAGGCCTGGTGCCCATCGAGCTGCCTACCGGGGACACCGATGAGTCGTCCTCGGAAGATGAAGCTGAGGGGCGCCAGCGGTCCGGCGCTGCGCCTTCGCAGCCCGGACGCGGCGTCAAGGAAGATTGCGAGGAGCCGGCCGCGCCCGCGGCCGTTGAGTCCAGCCCTCCGGGCCGCGATCCGGCGCCTGCGGTGTCTCCCGTCAAGGATGAGGTCAGCCCGCCAGAGCAAAGTGCGGCGCCGGCCGCGTCTCCCGTCAAAAGGAGGCCAGCGGCTAAAATCCCTAAAGGGTATCATGGTGAGCCGCCGAATTTTTGGTGGGCGCACCTCCCAAAGGAGCTATGGCAGAGAGAAGGGTACTGCTTGCTGTGCAAGACGCGGAAGGGTGTCAGGGGTGGATGCCCCGTTGATGAGGATCACCTGCTCAGTGAGCAGCACATCGAGGAAATGTTCAAGATGGAGGCTCGTTATGAAGAACAGCAGCGCCAGCAGGCCAAGGCTGCGCCTCCGCAACCTGAGCGCGAGGCACCTACGCAGCCGGCCCTTCCTGCTGCGGCCAACCCGGTCAAGGAGGAGGTGGCAGAGCCTTCAGCAGCTTCCTCTAGCGCAGGGCCTTCGGTGAAGTCGGAGGCAGAAGCGCAGGAAGCCAAGCAGGCCGTAGTAGCCTCTCTGACGCGGACTGGTGGTCTGTCTTCGGACCCCGGTCGCGCAGAATGGCCTGATCGTATGAAGGGCGAAATGTCCAAGGAGGAGCTGCAAGCCATCTGGAGTAAGGAAGGCCGGACTCGGACGGCGCGGCTTGTCGAGTCACTGCTGGGGGGTGCTGCCGCGGATGAGCTTCGGCACCAGGAAGGTGCCGCAGGCGGTCTCAGCCAGCTGATGGCTAAGCAGGAAGAGCGGCCAACGGAAGGAGGAGCCGCCAAGCTTGAAGGCAGTCTTCGGATGATCGCCTCAGCGACGACCACAGCTGCAGTCACCAGGAAGCGTTCAGGACTTCCTGTGGGTGACACAGAGAGTGGGCGCTATGGAGAGGCGGTGACTCGTGCACTGCCCGTAGCAGCAGAGCGCCTGGAGCTCGCTCATGAGACTCCGCGAGCAAGGATCGTCGGCGCCGCAGAGTCGGATACGCGACTCGACGCCGGGCTCCGTGCAGTTGCCCAAGGGTCCACTGACGTGCATGAGCCGGAAGGTCTTGAAAAAACAAGCGCGGAGCAGGATGAGAGCGGAGGAGCACAGGAAGTCGCTGGCCGCAGAGGCCGCTGCAAGCAGACTCGCCAATGAGGAGCCCGATGACTCCAGGGCCAACGCTCCCCCCCGTCCGCCGGACGACGGCCTTGATGACCTTCCCTACGAGGAAGGCAGCTGGGTTTGCGGAGCCTGCAAGACGGTCAACGGACCAAAACTGGTCCGTTGCGAGGGCTGGATCAAAGGAGAGCGTTGCGGCGAGCGCTGGGAGTCTATGGCCAGGTACGCCAAGAGCGGACCTCCTCGGCGCAGAAGCCCGGACTCTAGGAGGGAGGCCAAGCGGCTTCGGACTGAGACAGTCCTCAGTCAGGTCTTGCAACGGCCTGACAGCTGGTGGTGTAGCCGCTGTTGGTCAGGGAACTTATGCTTCCGCAACAGATGCTACAAGTGCTCTGCCATCCGGGAAGAGCCGGATGAGGGGTCGTCCGACGACGGACACCACCCGAAACCGTCACAGCAGCTGACGGAAGAGATCCAGAAGTTCTTGGCCCAATCGCAGAGACGGGTCAAGAAGAAGCGTGCTGGCACAAAGCGCAAGAAGAGTCACAAGAAGCGGAAGCGAATCCGCTCAGGAGGGTCGGCGGTGAAGTCTGCGGTTCGCAGGCTTCGCGCGACCCGGTCAGCGGTGAAGTCTACGGTTCGTGGACTTCGCGCGACCAGGAAGAAGAGACTGCGGAAGAAGACCAAGCGTCAGGGGTGGGCCTTGTCAAGGAGGGCTCGGAACCGGCGAGCGCACGCCTTGAACGGCAATGGGTTCAGCTTCGGCAGCAAGGCCACTTTGGTCCTTGCCGCGTTCTTAGCGCCGGTGGTCCGCAGGGTCCAGCTCGAGATGGAAGAGATCGTGGAGACCGGGTCGGAAGCCTTCCAGGTAGTGATCGCCGAGGGCGGCGAGGAGTTGGCTTCCTTCATCGAGACGGTGTTCTCGACAGCTCGATTTGCAATCGTCGGGCTGGTGTTTTGGTGGGTCTCCAGGAAGGTCGCAAACGTGATGATGCACATGGCTCATGGAAACGCGACCCCACGCTTGGTTCAGTTTGACGGAAACGTCTCCACGTGGGAAGTGAAAGGGACCCGAGGAGTTCATCGAGTCAGGATCGCAGGGAGAGCCCCAGGGTGCGCTTGCAGAGAGTTTCTGCGCACTGGCACCTGCGACCACGTGGAAGTCACTTTGGCTGCGCACAAAAAGCTGGTTGGGCCGCAAAGTGCGGAGGCTAGCGTGGCGTCAACGGCCCTGGCCAGGGGAAAAGCCGCAACTGAGGGGCGATCAGTAGAATCGCTTGGCCTTTCGGCTTGCTTCCAAGGCCTTGTGGAAAAGGCCAAAGGCCTACGTTCGGAAGCCCAGCCAGGGTCCAGCGGGGATCAGGGCCAACAGCTGCGAGAGCCAGAGGAAGGCCAGACGCCTGAGTTCGCCGTGCGCAAAGAGCGTGAAAATAAGCCAAGGCTGGCTTTGGAGGATGTGTCACCGTGGACCGGCGTTGCGCTTTCGCGCGGCGGTCGCGGCTCTCAAGACCAGGAGCTGAACGTGCAGCTCTTGATCAACAAGGAGTCGCAGGAGGCCATCCTCTCAGCCTTGCAAAGGCTGAAGGGCGGAGAAGTCATCGCCACAGCCTATACGCTAGACCAACCAGATTTGGTAGAGGGCCTTCTAGTGTTGGGCGGATCAGCCCGGCTGGTGGTGGACAAGGGCCAGAGTCATGGAACGCGCACCAAGCTGCAATTTCAGAGTTTGCAGCAGCTGGTTCGTGGAGGAGTTCGCGTGCGCGTAGTCTCTGGGTCGCACCTGGCGGCGGTGTACTCCGCCGACAACAGAGACACTTCGAGGATCGGAAAAGGTCAGCGTGGAATTCAGCATTCCAAAACCTTCGCGATCTCGAAGGATGGCCAGTTCCAGTTGATCATTGGATCTTGCAACTGGACTACGGCGTCCCGTTCCAATTCCGAAGCTGGTGTCCTCTTGACAGGAAGTTGTGGGCATGGAGTGTACCAGCAGTACACCGAGAACTTCGAGCGGCTTTGGAAGGAAGCTGTCGTCTTTGACGGGACGCGTGTGGCGGAAGAAGAGCCTCGCAGGAGGGTCTTCGGAAAGCAGAGTGCGCCGACGGAAGAGGACTGAACCCGTCGGAGGAGCGCAAGCCAGAGCTCGAAGGGAGCCAGGGCTTGCCTTGTGGCGGAGGTTTGCGGTTCGCATCCTCTGCGCGGGCAAGGCTTGGGGATGAGATGGATCCCACGGCCGCAGAACCCATCTGAGGGGCGATTGTGAGCCTAAGTAGCCTTGCCCGTAAACATGTTTCTGTGTGTGTGTTTCACTTGTGCATGAACTGTTTTTGGCTCAAGGGCCAATACTTTTTGGCTCAAGTGAGTGGCTAGGAGTAGTGCAAGTAGCTTCTCAGCTTCACTAGGCCGTTTCACCGTCTCACCAGCGTGACTGACCCGCGACCTCGCTCGTGCGAGCAGAAACAGCTGCGCGGCGTTCGTACGCGTGCTCGCAGTTAGTAGTAGTAGTAGTAGCAGTAGCAGTAGCAGTAGTAGTAGAAGTAGTAGTAGTAGTAGTAGTAGTGTAGTAGTATATAGTAGTATAGTTGTTGTTGTTGTCGTAGTCGTAGTCATGGTATCTTGAAGGGGTGGTAGTAGTAGTAGTAGTAGTAGTAGTAGTAGTAGTAGTAGCTGTAGTAGTGGTATATGGAAGTGGTGGTAGTGGTAGTGGTAGTGGTAGTGGCAGTAGTAGTCGTAGTAGTCGTAGTAGTAGTAGTAGTAGGTAGTAGTAGTAGGTAGTAGTAGGTAGTAGTAGGTAGTAGTAGGTAGTAGTAGGTAGTAGTAGTTAGTAGTAGGTAGTAGTAGGTAGTAGTAGTAGTAGCAGCAGTAGTAGTAGTAGGAGTAGCAGTAGCAGTAGCAGTAGTGGTAGGAGGAGCAGCAGCAGCAGGAGTAGTAGTAGTAGTAGTGGTTTTGGTTTCTGAATCGTTTGACTTGGTTTCTGAATCGGCCCATTTGGTTTCTGAATCGGCTCATTTGGTTCCTGAAGCGGACCATTTGGTTTCTGAATCGGAATGCCTTGGTTTCTGAATCGTAGTTTCTGAATCATCCCTTCTAGATCCTTCTAGTTTCTGAATCGTAGTTTCGTCCGATCCCATTGGGTGTACACAGCATGCAATCAAAAGAACCAGCCCCAGGAGCAGCATAACAACTGTCTGATCCACATTTCGAACCTACTAGTAAAGGATCGGAAGGGAGTTTTCGAAAAAGAAACTAAGAACTTCCCGTCTTCGTAATGTCCACGGGCTGAAAGCAAAATATGGCGCCTGGAATCTTAGCTTTGTAGGCAATTATGTAAAGTAGCAACAAAGCTGACCCCGATCAAAAAGTAATATGTACGTATATACATTAAGCAAGAACTCACCTGGTAAGTTGCGTTCTCTCTGTGATCGCTCGCATGGGTGACTGGTTGCTGCTGGTAGATTCCTTCTCGTGATCCGTTCCTTCCACCAGCAAAAATTGTCCAGTGTGTTTGTACGTGTGGGCTTGTTAGAGTCATCGGTGCATGTTGGGGTTCCAATCCGGGCAAGTGTTAAATGTAAGTGCCAGCTCCTGCGAGGTCACACAATAAACCAATGCTTCTTGAACCCTGTGTGGTGATACCCTCGAGAGAGGCTCTAGACCTCTTCAGCAAAGCACCAAAAGCTGAGTGAACTTGCCTGGCCGCCAGTTCTTTTGCCTGTTCAGCTGCCTTGCGGAACAATGTACACGCCGCTCTCCCAACGATTACTTACGCAAACATGTTTGGAATGACACTCTGCAAGAAAGACGGAAGCATTGCAGTTTGCTTTACAGCTACTCTCTGCCTCTTGTTCTGGAGTGTCCGCGTGCTCAAGGAACATGAAAAGTCTCTGGTAGTCAGAAAAGCCCAAAACATCAGAGCTCTGCCAGAACGCCAAAGCTTGAGGATCATCTGTACTGCCAACATCTGCTGCAACGACCTCAATCAAACACTGGCTGAAGGAGTATCTGGCTCTGGGAGGACAGTGGCAGAACCAGAGGATGTCAAGCTCAGCAGTAGACTCTGAGCAAGTCTTCGTGCTCCAAAGCCTCCGTTCCGATCTGTTCGGCCATCAACGACTGTGTGGACATAGACCTGTTGCGAAATTTGACAGGCATCAGTGCAGGGTGGCGCTGCTAAAACTAGCCCGGAATACTGGTTGGGAGGCTCGAACAACGACTTCAGCCTCATGTGACACAGTTTGACAGTATCAGTATAGCATACCTCTGTTTTGCGAGATCTCTCAGGTTGAAGCTGTTTGTGAGTGAAAAACCGGACTTGCTGCTCCTGCTCCATGAAGGTTTTGGAGAGGCCACCTTTGAAGATCTGAAGTCTAAACATTTTGTCTTCGATTGCGCCAGAGCCGATCAGGCGGTACACAACCACCTGCATGCTCACTAGGCAAACTTTTCCACTGACAAACAACATATGCAAGCAAAAAGTCTCCAGCCTCTTGCTTTTGACCAATTCGATGAACTCTGTCAATCGCTTGTGCGTCTGCTGAAGGATTCCATGCAGGATCAACCAAAATAACTCTGTTGGCGCCCGTGACAGTCAGCCCAGTGCCACCAACTTGCAAACTCAAACCTTGCTTCAGTTCGCGCATTGCGACACGCAAGTTCTGAATTCTAGGGCCCCGACACAAAGCAAAATACTTGGAATCATCTCTCTGGAATTTTTGTAGCTTTAAGTCCCGATCCTGAAAGCATCAATCATTAAAGCTGTCGAGACCCACAAGCAACGGTATGAACTTTGGAATGATTTCAGTTGCTCAAGCAATACACAAAAATAATGAAACGGTTTGAGGTTCTACACGATGGAACATAAACTCCATTGAAATGGGCTGAGCAAAACTGAGACAAGTAGATTCAATCTTTCCTGACTTCACAGGCAAAACCGATGACTTGACACGTGCGATTTGAGAAACTGCAATAATCACAATCCTTGGCATCAATGCTGCCGTCGATCCGCAAGAACTTCAGACCCAAGACTCTGAGCACGCAGCCCTGAAATACACGAAGAAACACGTTTCATTAACATCTACTTTGAGGGATGCTATATAGACAAAAAAAAAAAACACCCACACATTGCCTGGATCAGATCGAGCATCCTCACATTCTGGGAGAAAATTAAGCAGCGGTGGCCTGAACGATGTAAATTCCACAAGCAACATGCAAAAACACATGACATCTACAGACCAAAACTCCGCCCTCCACCAGCACCTCTTTTTTGCAGCTGTGGCAGAAGTACAGAAAGCACTCGGAGTTTGGTCGACAGTAAGGCAGCGCCCTGTGCAGAATTCGGCCTCGCGCAACAGAGCGAATAAATTAATGAATCCCTTCGTTACTGATCTTAGTTGTCTTTCAAGCAGATTCCGATGCACACATGTTTCAAAACAAATTCCTAATCGACCCACCGAGGAGATGGCAAAAGCGCACGAAGGCGTGGCAAAAGCTCACGACACTCTGGTGCCTAGCAAAAGAATGTTGTGAGAGTAAGAGAATGCAGGAACATGCATATATATATATATACATGTATGTATTATATGTTATATTATATCGTATTATACTACTATACCATATTATATTATCTTATATTATATCGATTGTTTGATAAGCTGTGTGCCTACTCTCTATAAACATCTATAAACATAGATCATCATAGAGCCAAACCCCAGAAACATCTACAAACCCCGACTGCCTCTTGCGTAGCAACATCATCTGAGACTTCTTTCGAAGGCTCTGGCATATCTGGAATCCTGCCCTGCAAGGTTTGAGCCTGAGCTTGAGGCCGTTCTGTGCAAGCTGGCGACCAAGTTTGCAAAGCTGCTAAGATGCGAACTCGCCATTGATTGTACTCGTCTTGAGGCCTGTTTGCTCTATCTGTACTTGGTACATGCTGCTCCAAGAGTCTGACTCGGCCCTGGACAAGCACAAAAGTGGATGGCCACACCTCATCTTTGAAAGGGTGGCGGGAGATGGCGGGAGGGGGTGGCAGCAGGATGTGCGATGTGCGGCGGATTCAGGTGGCATGATGATGTTTCGGGAAGGGGCTGGCACTTTGGTGCAGTTAGTTCACCTTGTCCCTTCCTCTCGGAAATGCAAGGCATTTGACAACTAACAGAACATCAACTGACCTTACCCGCTTGAGATTCCAACGGCAATGGCTTCCAAATTGACCGGACGACTTTTCATGATCATTCTATGACCCCCAGAAACAAGTACAGTCTGCGTCTTCACAATCCATGGAATCCATGGTTTCTTGAATACTGACTGTGCTTTGCATGGTTTGTCGAAATGCTCAGCACAACTAAAACCAAACTCTTTCTATTGCGCATTCTCTTCTGGGGCCATTGCCACACCTCTTTTGCGCTCTTCCTCTCTCTCTCTCTCTCTTGTGAGGTTGCGCTTCATGCAGGCTTTTGATGGAAAGTTCGGATACACACTTGCGACTTTCAAAGAGGAATGGGGTGAGAAAGACACACCGGCCGGGCACTGCCCAGGCTACGGTGGAAGAAAGCAAGAAGTCGAAGCAAGATGCAATGTCAAGAATGGTCAGGAATTGCGCGCGTGCTGTCTACAACGTCACGTCCTATTCCTACTTTCGAGATGATTTGAACAACACTGACATGCACAAGTGTATCGATCCCTTAGGCATCATTTACTCGAGGCCCAAAGACAAGTGGCGGATAATTCTTCTAGTGTTGGATCAAGCGAGAGTCACTTTGCTGCCATTGGCGCAATCGACTTTGAATGAAATGATAAAACACAAGGATATCAGACCCCACGACAGGTGGAATAGTTTATTGGAACCAGATCAAGTGCAAAGGCTGATGGACAAGTACGAAGATTACGGAGCGCATGTGCTACCCAGCAAGAGACGAACCAGCCATCCTAGCATCGCACCTGAAATTGAACGTCCACCGTCAGAAGCAGCTTCATCAAGTCACCATGGACAAACAAAAGGACACCACGAAAAGGAAGAGGAAAAGAAGGTGGAAGGAGCTCCAAAGGTCGAGGTACTTCCTGGCAGTCGTAGCTGGAACACCTATGGAACAACGTTCTACGATGAGGATTGGACCAATATTCGTGTCAGAGATGATCGTCGAGGTTGGGACGAATGGAAACGTGACCAAGGAGCGAGACGAGAAGATGAGGAAGAAGATACCGGACGATAGGACAAGTTCAGCGCACTGCGTATGAGCCTTTGTCAAGCAAGGTCAGCGCACTGCGTATGATCCTTGAACAGTCGTAAGAGCATCTGCAAGTGCACTTTCTACAGTTGAGAGAAACCCCAAGAACTCGGTCTATCTCACGACGAAGATCTACTGAGAGAGAGATTCTGAGATATTCTGAGTGCGGCATCCTTAACTGTCAGTTTTCACAATTAACTTGTATAGCCAATAGGTTGGATTGCACGCTTTGTATGTAAAAGCCCGCTTAGTTTCAACAGCGTTGTGTAGTTGGAGTCTATTCTCATGCGTCTCGCGGCAAACCATAACGACCCGCTGTACAGTAGTACACTACCCTTGAATTTCAACAGGTGTGCCCAATGCTGAAAGCGTCGGACACATGGGGGGTGTCAATAGCAGTGGAGCGACAAGCACAATGTATACTCGTATAGAATAGTACAGTGTGAACTGCCAACATTTGGCTCAAGTCACCCGTAGACATAGCGGAAAAAGGGAGCGCGCTGCCGCCATCTACAGGGGACTAGGATAGTCAATCCATACTTCACGCTGGACTGATTAATATCTTGCAATTTGAATCTTCCGATAGCTCGTTCTCCTCGAAACATGTGCCATGCTTCCATATAGGTATGAGCCACTTTGAGTCCGCGAAACTTCTCATCTGCTCTTCAGTTGGATCCAGAGGCGTATCATCCTTGTCGAATCCGTTGTGAACTCCTTTGGTGAAGTCTGACATGACGTCGAGCCGCTTCCTGACGCAATGTTGCTTGAACTCTGCGACGCCCGTCTGGTGAAATGACCTAGACATGGGAGTCATCAATTGGGACATACGGCGAACAACGTACTTGTCCGTAAGTCCTGATGAACCCTTTCCAGTGTCTTGGCATCCGGCTTCGTCTTGCAAGTCAAAAGGAAAAGGTATTGGTTCTGGGTACCTGCGCCATTTCGGAAGTTCATGATTGGCAAGATTTTCTGCTGGGTCGAAGGATCTTGGTCCAATGTCCTCATTGGTTCGCTTTTGGATCTCATCTTTTTTGTCCTCTGTTTCAACTTCTTCAATCACCTTGTCTGACGACTTCGGGAATTCAGTTGCGCTTCTGTAGATTGCGTCGTTCTTCGATCTCAGGCGCCTGGGAGTCTCTGTCATAGTCCACGTCGTCCACATCAAAAGATGGTGTGTAGACTTCTTGACCCTCCCCTTTCTGTGCATCTGAGTTCTTCATGATATTGTCGATGAATTCTAAGCTGACTTCCTCGTTTTCATCATCGCGCTCGATCTGAGACCGCAGTGCAGTCTTGACCTCGTTCATCTTCAACTTGTCAATGGTTTCTTGCTCTTCTTTGGCGGGATCCTTAGCTGGCTCCATCTCTACATCGTCTACCACTTCCACTTCATCGTCGTAAATCTCGATGGTTGTGGTCGTAGCGACAGTGTTCTTGATTGTGCAGCTATGTAACCGCTCATGGCAATGAAGACACATTGTGAAGACGTTCGGTGTGACGTTCATACATGCGGGACATGTTGCCGTCAACGCTGCTGAAGCCTTCGCAAGTTCGAGCAAAGATCTCATTCCATGGCTCCTTCTTTGTTCTCTTGGCGTCGCCGTCATTGATGAAGAGAAGTTGCCACCTCAACAATTTGCTCTTTAGTTGCAATTTTTGCTGGGTAGGTCGCTGCTGCGATAAGGTGGTTAGTAACCCCTTTCATCAACAATTTTTCCATTCGCCTTTGACTGGATCTTTGTACCATGCTCCTCTGACATTGTCCCATGGCACCTCCTTGAACATGATGACATATGAGCTCTCTGCAAGGAGGGCTCCGAAGTTCTTCAGGCAAGCGATTGGTTCAAATAAGGCTACTGGAACGTCGTCCGTCGGGGCCTTTGATCTCAAGACTAGGTTTGCTCGGCTGTCCCACGGTGCGAAACGGTTGAAGAATGAACTTCCCCTTGTGCCTTTAAGTCCACCAGGTTGAATTCCATGTTTCATGATAGATGGTAATCTTCCGATAGTTGTTCCACCAAGTTGGACGGCAAGGGCGTCGGCGATGTCGTGTGATGTGAGGTGGGGATCAAGGACGACGTCGTTCTCGTTCTTGTCAGACTGTCGCGAATCAAGGTTGCGTGATGACGCTGCCCTCATCGCTACAGGAAATAACCATCTGTCTTTGTCCCTTTAGTACCTCATGTCATTCGGCCCGCCATAGTTCTTCTCCCAATATGCTCTTTGTTCTTCATTTGTAGCGTCATTAACAGATATGCGGACTGCGGCAATCTGGAATCTGACACGCGGCTCTGAAGCTTCCTCGAATACCACATAGCCTGACAGCATCGTCGGCATCGCGTCGTCAATATCTCTTCTAAATATCCTCCTCGTTCTGCGTCTCTGATAATGCGGTTGCTATTGTCATTGAAGATGTGGCCGTGCGTGAGTACATCATTGATGTTCACCCATCCTCCTTCGTTGCATGGAAGAATGTCATGGTGTCTACCTGAGTGACCTACTAGCTTTGCCTTTCCGGTTTGATGTCTTAGGACCTTGTTGAGCTTCCTACTGATATCATTATATAACTGTGGCATAGTCATCCGTGTCCTTGTTGAGATAATGTTCTTGATCAAAGGCAGGTGGAGTAAGGTAGTCCGTACCAGTCTGATCCTCTTCTCCATTCCATTTCTTGATGCAGAAGGTGGTGCCACATTGCGGGCTGATTTTAATGTTGCCTCTGTCACAATCCAGCCAAATCTGTCGGTATGCACTCTTGTGTTCTTGGAGTGGATCATCCTTCAGCTCTGATACTTTCGGTAGCTTGGAACCTGCCGATTGTGCCCTGGTTACTCTTCAAGCGCTTTCTTGTCCGGCGGCCCAGACATGTCCACTCTTCGATCAATGACCTTGAAAGCGCCTCCTTCCTGCTCGTCTGCAATCGTACAGATATCCACTGGATCGTTGAACCTGATGATGATTGTAGCGTTGCCGAATGAGCGTTTCATGGATTCGACAGCTTTCTCATATTCTTCATTGCTGCTCGATGACTTCGACTGAGATTGCTTTGCCCGCTTGCAGTCTTTGCCCTTTTCTTTTCCCTTTCGGCCTCATCTCTCTTCATGATCTCCTCGTCGCGCTTCGTGAAGTTGATCTTGAGGATCTTCTCGATATGATCAAAGCAATCAACAATATTCCTCATGTCTTTCGCGAAGTTCTCATTGTCACAGTTCTCCAACGAGTGTTCATCTGAGCCGCAACAAAGGCAAAGCTTCTTTTCTTGAGCTCTCGTCTTCACCCTTCACATGTTGTCGTAGGTCTGTTTCCATGAAGAAGATGATGGCTCAATTTTCCTTGCTGAGAAGGGTCCTGAATGTGGCGGATTCGTCCAAGTTGCCGTCGGCGATGTCGATCTTCCTTCGCCTTCCTTGTAGTCCATGGGATCTACTTCGGGGGACACAGGTTGTGCTGCTGGGTTTCATTCTGCTGATGATTTCTGGCTTAGGATATTTCCTCATCGTATTCTCATCTCGGCTCTTTCATCAGCTGATGGGAAACTGCACGGAGATTTGTTCCTCTTTGTATTGTCGTTGATATTTCTCCGGCTTGCTGCATAGAAGGTGAGAGATGATAGTTCAAACCCTCGCCTGCGCTCATCAACACACTTCCAACCCTTGAAGAGGTTGTGTTGAAAGATGCTTGCTAGCTCAAAGACTCCTAACCAGAATTCAACAATGTCACCTGCGAGTTCAGAGTTGGTCACCCTGTCCTTGTGCTCGAG